GGTGGATGGGTGTGGGGCAAGCTGCTGGACGTCACGCAGGTGGTTGTCTGCTACGGGGGCTGGCTGTCGGTGTGCCGGGCGTGTTTGGGGGTAAGTGGTGATTGCGGGTGGTGTGTGCATGGCAGGCAACACGGCCGGCTGGGTGCGGCCCCTCCCATGCGGGCAGGCAAGGCCTGCAGGCAGCCCGTGTGCCACCCATGCCCCATGCTGCCGCCCCTCCAACCCGCGCACCCGTCCGCTGCCTGGCCGCCCTGCAGAGTGGCGCTGGCACCGGAACCAGGACGACGGCCCCGACAGCGCAGACTGGGTGAGCGTGGTGAGGGATCCAGACTGCCAGGCCAAGCGGGCAGCCGTGCTGGCCGCCTTGCGGCAGGAGCAGGCCGCCGCCGCCGCAGCGCGCGGAGCGGAGCAGGCGCAGGCGCGGCAGCGGGCGCAGCAGCAGGCGGACCAGCAGGCTGGCCAGCAGGCTGGCCAGCACATCGGCGTGTGGGCCTGGCTACGGCGCTGGGTGTGGAGTGGCGCCGGGCGTGCGGGCGGGCTGGCGCTGTAGATGTTTAGTTGTTGGTTGGCTGCTGTGGTGCAGCCCCCCTCCTTGTGCCTCTGTGTGGTGTCTTCCTGCTGGTGTCTCCCCAAGTCGAGCAGTATATAGCTTGCGTCAGCACTGTTACCCTCCCTGCTCAAGAGACCCCGTCTCCCCTCTACCCCCCCCCCCCCTCTTCTTCCTGCTGCCCCTTGCCTCCTCGCTGCCCTCCACACTTGCCGTGCGCTCCCTACGCCCCCCCACTGTGCATACTGTGCACGCCTAAGCTTCCTGCCTGCCCTCTTTTGGTACCCGGGTTTGAGCCCCATCTCCCGTTTGAGCCCTAGAGCCAACCATGCCACAGGCCGCGCTCGGCCACTCCATTTGATGCAGCGTTACCCCACCAATTCATTTGAGCGCGCACACCGCTGCCCTGCCCACAACCCCGGCCTGCCCCTGCACCCCGCGATACTGCCTTTTTGTTGTGCTTTTGATTGCAGCCCCGTGCTCCCTTTTGTTGTGTGACTTGGACAAGTGATAATTGCGCAGTGGGGAGGCAGTGCTACATGGATTGGGGGAGGCTGAACAAGGCGCCACGCTGTGCCTGCTGTCTCGGGCGGGACAGTTGGACATACTGCTTTCCCCGGCTGCCGCCACGGCGGTCGGTGGCACCTGGTGAGCTCACGAGACATCGCACTTCTTCGTGGCCAGATTGCAAGCAGCGCAGCAGCAGTCCTATGGCAGCAGGAAAGCGAGGCGGCAGATGTCGGATACATGGAGTTGGCAAAACCGTGCCTAAGTGTCCTGAGGGATAGCACACCTGCACCATTCACCCCCGGGG